TAACGGTGCGTGTTAAGGACAGATGATATAAACAATGTTTGTCTTTGGAAGAGACTTAAAATCAGCAATATCACATGGGCTGATTTTTTGTAATTTTGTTTTTCCTCATAAAATTCACCTGATTTGGCCCAGATAGCTAGACTATGTTGGGCCAACATTGGCAAAAGGTTGTATGGTTGGCGTTGGGGAAACAACGTTGGGCCAACGTTGGACCAATGTCACCATGCCAACCTTCTCGACCATGACCGAATTCCTATGTTGGCCCAACGTTGGTCCAACGTTAGCAACTTCCAAACACATTACTTCCCAAGGAAGGAGGGATTTTGATGTTGGCCCAACGTTGGCCCACTGTTTGTAATACACTCTTAAAGAAAGTGTCTTTTAAAGTTGGTAGTAGTATGTTGGCCCAACGTTGGCCCAATGTTTGAAATACACCCTTAAAGAAAGTGTCTTTTAAAGTTGGCAGTAGTATGTTGGCCCAACGTTGGCCCGATGTTTGTAATACACCCTTAAAGAAAGTGTCTTTTAAAGTTGGTAGTAGTATGTTGGCCCAACGTTGGCCCGATATTTGTAATACACCCTTAAAGAAAGTGTCTTTTAAAGTTGGTAGTAGTATGTTGGCCCAACGTTGGCCCGATGTTTGTAATACACCCTTAAAGAAAGTGTCTTTTAAAGTTGGTAGTAGTATGTTGGCCCAACGTTGGCCCAATGTTTGTAATACACCCTTAAAGAAAGTGTCTTTTAAAGTTGGTAGTAGTATGTTGGCCCAACGTTGGCCCGATGTTTGTAATACACCCATAAAGAATGCGTCTTATCAAGTTGATAGTAGTATGTTGGCCCAACGTTGGCCCAATGTTTGTCATACACCCTTAAAGAAAGTGTCTTATCAAATGGGTAGTAGTATATTGGCCCAATGTTTGTAATACACCCTCAAAAAATGTCTTATCAATTTGATAATACATTGTAGTATGTTGGCCCGATGTTAGCACGAGTGTTCTTTTGTTTAGGTGTTTCAAAGATGGGATATTTATATTGGGCAAACGCTGGCCCAATTACTATACTGCCAACTAAAGATGGTGTCAATTTTAGCTGCTGAGCTGACATTCTATGTCCATGCTTTTAATTGGATGACTGTTTTTGTTTAGATCTGATATATTCAACATTTTTACATTTTAACTTAAGTGATCACAGCACCAAAGAGTGTTTTATTATATTTTTTGAATTGTGCACATGCATGATTATTTATTTGAAATAAAACCCATGAAATTATGAATTTTTCCATGAGCGTTGTATTTAGAGAAGACTGAATACGTTCTCAGGAACAGGATGTGAATGAAGCCTACATATACATAAATCAAAATGACACAGCTTTATAATTAATTGAAACAAAAGTTCGCTATCACGTGACCAATCTGTGGAGTGAGCTGTCAGATTCAATTGCTCACAGGTGATGATAATGCAGGGCAAGCAAGAAGAAGTGAACTTTAAATTTGTGGATTATACACTTGCTATACAGCTGCATTTAGAAGCGATGTAAGTATATTTATTCTTATTTATTCAGGTTGACTGTTAAATTTGATTCGGAATTCATTCTTGTCATGCTTTTGCACACAAGCACTGTAAGTTAAGGTTAAATAACATCTTTTAAGTTGTTTCTATCTATCTAATTCTTAACTGTCTATTACAGACACAATTGTAACAAAGAAATTCAGTCAGAGACTGCAAGGAAAACAAATGTTCTGGCGGTACATATAAATAACAATGAAATCGAAGACCATGCATAAAAAAGTGTATAAAGTATGAGTCCGTATGACAAAGATCAAGATGAAGAAAACGGGAGGGGACGAAGGGACGGAAAAAGAGCGGGAATACAACAAAAGGACTATAATAAAGGAAGTGAGCCCTGATTAAGAACTTTTAATTGATAATTTTTCATAATTTACCTCTATTGTCTATTTTAAAATTTATTCTGTAAATTATGATTGAATTGATGTATATAAAATATTATCACAGTGAATCATTAGTAATGTTTTCATTGAACATGTCCATGTATGCATTAGGAATGCAGATTGAATTGTGTATTAATTATTTTAAACAGTCATAAAATAGGTTTATGTAAAGAATCACTTAACCAATTGCAAATGTTTCTATGTAATAACTACGCTGGCCCAACAATTTGCCATCTGACACTGTAAAAAAATGGTCAACATTGGGCCAACCTAACCAACCAGTTGTTAAGGTTGACTGTTAGTTGGCATACACTAAAAACTACATTGGCCCAACAATATGCCATCTGACATTTCAACATAGGGCCAACGTTGGGCCAACCTAACCAAACAGTTATTAAGGTTGGCTGTTAGTTGTCATACAATTATACCTACATATGCCAACATGTTGGACCAACGTTGGGCCGATGAGCAAAATTGCCGTGGGCCAACGTAAGGTTACCAACAGTGGGCCAACGTTGGAAAAAAAAATTGGGCCAACGTTGGCCCAACTATGTCTTGCTATCTGGGGGTATACTTTTCTTAAATTTATGTTACACTTTTTGAACCAAGGTTACACATTCTGAAATTTGTTTTCAACTGTAAACCTTAACTGAGTGTTTTGTCTATATTTGTTTCTTTATTGAAATGTTACTAATAATTTCCAAGTCTATTTCATTTTCCAGTTCTTTGGAGAAAAAATTCTAAAAGTTATCCACTTTTTTAAACTTGTGCCAAGATATTAAGACTCTTCCAATTAAAATATTTGTTTGTATCATCTGTACTTAATAAGAATTGTTATAGCAATGTAAAAATTCCCTTTTCTGAAAATAGCAATCACAGGGAATTTCTAGGTAGATAAACGACATATTAACTGCTATATACAAAGTGACTAAAACCTTACTAATTAGTAGATAATATACAGTTGTAATGCTTTTCAAAAAACAAGAAAATACGCGAAAATTAGTACTTTTAATTCTTATGTAAATCAAGATGTTTAGTAAGGTCAAATGTATAAATCTTATGTTAAATATGTCAAACATTTAAAATTTGAACTGCACTTAAAAGAGAGGTGATGATTTACAGGCTTTATATACAGACACTGTATACATGATCAGTATGTGGAAGGTCTGGAAACACTAGGTTATCCAATGATTACTTAAATACCCCTAGATCACCACATGACCTTCCTTTTTCCAATATACCGTATAACTTACGCAGAATTTTAAGCGAGGATTTGATTTTGGCAATTTTTACAGTGTACCCCAATATCCCTAGATGACCACATGACCTTCCTTTTTTAATATATACAGAATTATATACAACAAGTCCCTATTTTTGGTAGTTATACAATGATAACATTAATACCCTTAAATTACCATATAATCTTCCAGTTATCAATGATAAAGTTTAGCTTAATAATCACGCGAGGAATAAACAAAATGATTCCATAAAGTTACAGAGTTAATAAAAGAAAAATTCCATTATACATCAGTCCGATGCCATTACCAGCCTGATATAAAACGAATTATCAGACTGTTTATAACTAATAGCTCTCAGAACAGGACTGATAATTGAAGACAGAAAATATTCTTAGGTATCCTAATGAAAACAAAGTTAAATCCCACATGTACATAAACCTCGCTAATTCTGACACAAATATGTAATATTTTATTTGATTCGGGGGGACAGAAATTTGAAATTTTATACTGATGTTTCGGAGGTCCGTGTTTGCTCTGTCGCTATAATGTATTGCTTTATGGACTTTGGATCTGGAATACTGTTCTTTTCTCCATATGTTTCATTGGTGAAACCTTTATTTATTATTTAAAAATTAACAAGCATGTTTATTTGTTTTTAAGAGTGCAAGTCTATAAAATTGTGTCCAATACTTGACACACATGGTCATGGAGCAGTGAGGGATCTTTTTCGTTTAAGCTCCTACTGCGGAACGGGACCACGGTTTATATGGTCTAATTCGAATGACCGGTCTCCACGTCCCACAGTGGGATTCAAATCCACGACGTTGGGTTTAACTCCTTTCTTTGCAACTCTAGAGCAGTCGCTCTAACCACTTCGCCACGCGGGCGACAACTTACGAAAAAGAAGAAAACACTTGCTGTTCCATCCAACTCGACATTAAAGCAAAATGTCAATTAACAATAGTTATATATACTAGTATCCATATATCGACACAATATGTCTAATGAGCTTGAAATAAAAGATAACACAAAGTTTGGCAATCTGTTATATATCTGGCTACTCACAGTATTTTAAGAAAAAAACATTAATATTAATTTAACAACAAAAATTAATGAAGAATGTGATGACATTAACTTTTCAATGTCTGATTTAGAGTGAACCCATCAATGTATAATAGATATTGTCAATGAAAAACGTAAAATTCGTTTTTAATTTCAATCTTTGAGAAGTCAGTAGAATAAGGATTTTTTTTAATAAAATATTTACAAATTAAGTTGAAGTGCATACTTAAAAAATAAAATGACAGAAGGTTGCAAATATCCTTTGTGCGATAAAGAAAATCTAATATTATTCTTTGCAAGAACTGATCTGCAGTGAATTTAGGTTTTGGGTCTTATCATGAGCAACGTCTTTCGTAGTGCTTCATAATTTTTCCAGTCAATCCATATCGGAAATCTACTACCCGTCACGGCAGACTTGGCGTACACTCCGTTCAGGTTGGATTCGTGACAGCGGTTGTACCACCAGGCTCCGTGATTTGACACAGCACAGTTACCACCGGACCAGTGGTCATTATCCTCATCTCTCGTTGTAAATTTCATACCATTATGAGGATATATCAAACTGTCACCTGGATCAGAATATTGATAATGTTGAGATTTATTGCCTAAGAATGATGCATAGTTTGTTTTATTTATCGTCTAAATTATAAATTATTAATGTATAAAGTGAAAAAATAATTCATGCAATGTTGTGAAGTTTGTTTAACAATTAATAGAAAAAATAATCACCTGCGGTTCCTGAAAACCCCGACACAGTGACAGTGACACTGTATTTACTGTCTTCATTGCCGACATAAAATGAAGAGTAGTGAGCGTATGCTTTAGCGCCATCAAAACTTTGAAATTCAAACCGGAGTTCTTGGTTCTTGTTCTTTGTCATCTCTTGGATTGCGTCACTTCCTTCAAGAGAATATGAGAAACGAAAATGTCTATCATTATGCTTTGATATTTAAGGTAGTACGATCCTTAGGTTTATAAAGCTAGCAGTTAAGTAATCAAAAATACTCACAAAAGTATCTCTGAATCCACAAAGTCATGTTAATTTATTCACAGTATTTCTTTAAAGTTATAAAGATTAAAGCTAATCATATTATATAGGGATAATTGTCAAGTCTCCAATATTTTTGCAGAAAAAAAAACGAATTAGAATATTAGCAATGCATTTTCTAATTGATCAATAAATATACCTTACGTAAAACAGACGACAGGTATCCAGTCATTCAGAGATACTGTCATGATTTTTATTCTTATTTGTTATTTATTTGTGTTTTATTTCCATCGTGCATTCCATAATACATAGTGTAAAAGGCTTTTGCTATCAATGCAAGACACCACAAATCACTTCTAATTTCATATCATGAATTGGTATCTAAGGCTGGATTCAAGAAAATATTATTTCTCTAAAACTGTGGGTTTTATTTCCTTTTATGGGGTACAAATGTCTCCTTTTATAAGACTTTTCCTAAGACTTCCAAAAACCTTAAATCTTATAAAGATGAATAAAATGAAAATTGTTGCATAAAAAATTCTTTTTCAAGCTTGTTTTAGAAGTAAATAAAGTGCTATAAGATTCATGATTTCATTATCTAAAAGGAAATATTTATAGGTTATTGAAGTTAAAATTGAATTAAAAGTCAGATATTCATGACAAGGCTCATACTCCAATCTTTTGTCCTAAAATATTTTTTAAAAGTTAAAAATATCCCCTTTCACTCATACTGATCATTAAACTTTTATAAAATATTACGTCCTAATTATTTACGCTAAACCATAGACCACGCTTTAATGTGATTGCGGAGAAAAGGTAACGTTTTACTATTCTGAATTCTAAAATGATAAAAAAAATGTTACCAATCCAGTAGTTTATAGATGGATCCCCAAATCCTTGTTTGTAATCTCGCCAAGTCCGGTAAAAGTCTGTAGATCCGTCCTGTCTTCTTTGTATTGCCTGAAACATAATTCATTTTCAAAGTTAAAAACACACTCAATAAAATCAATAAAAGCATGCAATGTATCTTGTATCTTCAATAAAAACAAATTGACAACTATGCATGGGTTCAATATTTTTTTGAGTAAAAAAGAACTTTTAATAACCGTTCCCGTTATATAAACTTTGCTTTTTCCGTATCTTTCGCATTTTTACCCAGTTGCGCTCATCGTCCACCCTCCTCCATCAGTAATCATATCACAGTAAACAGACCTTACTATTGAGGCTCTCACTCATCGTCCACCCTCCTCCATCATTACTCATGTCACAGTAAACAGACCTTACTACTGTGGCTCACACTCCCCGTCCACCTTCCTCCATCAGTACTCATGTCACAGTAAACAGACCTTACTACTGGGGCTCATACTCACCGTCCACCCTCCTCCATCAGGACTCATGTCACAGTAAACAGACCTTACTACTGAGGCTCACACTCCCCGTCCACCCTCCTCCATCAGTACTCATGTCACAGTAAACAGACCTTACTACTGAGGCTCATACTCACCGTCCACCCTCCTCCATCAGTACTCATGTCACAGTAAACAGACCTTACTACTGGGGCTCATACTCACCGTCCACCCTCCTCCATCAGGACTCATGTCACAGTAAACAAACCTTACTATTGAGGCTCACTCTCACGGTCCACCCTCCTCAATCTGTACTAATATCACAGTAAACAGACCTTACTACTGAGGCTCACACTCACCGTCCACCCTCCTCCATCTGTAGTCATATCACAGTAAACAGACTTGATTTCAGAGGCTATTGATAATGTGTATACTCCATCTCTTCCTTGTAAACTCGGAAATTTTCGTAAAATCTCCCTGCAACTTTGGCCATCCTTGAAAAGCGCTGTTCAATAGTGTAAAATTAAATAGACAATCTGAAATCCTATATACAAGTTTGTCATTAGCTAATGCAATGCTAATTTTTACGTCTATTTTGAATAATTTGTCTTCTACATTGTACATAATGTCAACACGGTGTTAAGTTTCTTACTTGAGCTTAACCTTTTTTATGATCATGGGGCCTATTCATATGCATGTTTACAAACCGTCTTAGAATATTATAAAAAAACGAAAAGGTTTTGAAACAAGTGAAGAGCTCACTACAGAAGGTAACTCTTTTTTATTTGAATATTCTTTGAACTTTATTTACTTAAACCCAACGAATAAGGGATGAGTTCTAATTTATATTAATAAATTAATCAACAACATTTACGAAGGCTGTTCAAAAGGTATGTTGTCTTCTGTCATAACGTCTTTGCTAATCGTCCTATTTAATAAAAAATGTACATTTGTTTTAATAGTGAATGCTTAAATAATTCGGTTTTAGATTTTAAAAGAGATCAAACTATTTTTCAAAATTAAATCCACGGAAAAAGGAGCAGTTACTTCTCAAATAAAATGGGGCAAAATAAGGGGAAAAAAGATGTTTATAAGAGGAAATTTTACATTATTGTATTTTCCAGATATTTTTTTAGAGTTTTAAAAATTTTTCATGTTATAAACGGTCAGTCGTGAAACGGATTATTAATAAAAATCTTTTCAGAGAGTAAAATAAAAACGGTGCGAAAAGAGATTGCTTTGGTGTAGCAGATCTTGAAAGCAGATCCTATATAAAAAAGAAATTTAAATACTGACAAACGAAATAATGCTACTAAAATAATAGTAAAAAAAAAAAATTAAACTCATTGATTTATATTTGTAACGTTACAATGCTACTAAGTTTCCTCTGTGGTAACAAAACATGTTCAATTTAAATCAAGTAATATGAGATTAGTGTCATTTAATCATAAAGAATAAAACTTCTCATATCAATGTCGTAAAAAAGTTTATATGTGATGGTGATGAAATCTTGAATATCTTGAAAATATTAATATTGACACCATCTGCACACTTTTCGAATAATTGTCAAATTTCACAGAACAATAGTTTGATTTATATGGCAAATGTGGTCGGTCGACAGGGGATGCTCCCTCCTCTATGGCACCGACTTCATCTCTGATAGTTTAGAGCTCTGTGTTTGTTCTCCTCCTGATTTGTATTGTTTGAATGAACTTGAATACTTTTGGTTATTTTCATATATTACTTGAAATATATACGTAGTATTTTCGGTTAAAATGTAAGTGAACAGTTTCAAACATATGTTCATTCTGAGAATCGACGTTTTAAATGTGTATTTTTTAATTATCTTTTTTTTGGTTAAAAAAAAAAAGAAAAGTACTAGTATAACATTTTACAAGTTTTTTTAATAAATGATATAGTATTTTAGATTTTGAGGAAAAATTTAACATACCTTTCACCAGGTTGTAAGTGACATCTGATTCATTGAGATCCTTACGAACATCGTGTAGGGAGTCATTCACAGAAACAAGGAGCCTTTCTAACTTCTCCTCTGTCTTTCTAACCCCTATGGTGACGTTTGTTGCGCTTTTTGCAAAGTTCCATTTAGTTCATTAAGATGGTCCTTCAGAACCTCAAGTTCTCTGGCCAGCGAATGACCATGGCTTTTATGGGCCAAACTATCTTTTCTAATATCATCAATTTGTTTGCTGTTTTGGAGATTAGTTTTAGCGAAAATTAATTGTTATTCATTTAATGTTTTTATTTGCTCCAATGTGCTCCGATCGCTTGCTTCCAATGTTTGTAAAACATTTCTAACGTCCCTTTGAATTTGGTTGATATTTTGAGTATTGTTCTTATTTTTGGCAATATCTCTCTTCAGTGCCTCTATTTCATCATGGAATTTGTTTTTCAATGTCTTATAATTAACATCAAGTTGACCAATAGTCTTATTCAGAGCAAAAAACAGTTTTTGAATGTCTGCACTGTCCAAAGCTAACTGATGATTTTCGTCTTTGATAGCCAAAGTTTGGGTTCTTAGAAAAGATATCTCCGTTTGATTCAGCTTTTGAATTTCTTCTTTTGTAAAGTTTTTATTCTTATCCATTGTTCCGAACACTACATTTAATTTCTCTTTCAGTTTAACATTTTCTTCTTTCATGTTTTGGCTCTTAATCTCCAAATCCTGTAATTCTTTTGCCAACTCGCTGAGCTTGGTCCTTATAGCATATCTATCGTTTTGTTGTCTATGGCATCCATCACTAAATTTTAAATTTTTTGTACCATAGAAAATCGTTCCAAACTTTCCTGATTCAGAATGTCACGTAGAACATTGGACGGTCTATCTGTTACGGTACTAGACAACAAAGCATCTTTATCAAAAGCTTTGCTTTCAAGTAAAGATAAATTACCTAGGGATCCATACAAGTGCATAGAAAAAAAATTAAACAAAGAACATATAAGGCTCTCATCCTGACAGCATTTCCTCTTGTATAAGATAGATGTTTATTATATAGCACAGCATCGGTTGTTGGGAATCTATAAAATATGTAAAGTTTTCATAAGTTAAGTCGTTTATCGCTGAAAATAAGAAAGCTGAACTATTGATTTATCATCAAATTTAGTTTTTATGGAATTCAATAAAAGACTTTATCTGAATTCTGTGTTGGGAATCTATGAAACATGTAAAGTTAAGTCGTTTTTCGCTGATATTGATTTATCAATTAATTAAATTTTTATGGAATTCAATCAAAGACTTAATCTGAATTATTTAGTTTTACATAATCTTGTGAAATGTTTGGGAAAGGTGTTTCATGATTTTCATTTTTTTATATCAAAAATTTAAAACTTCGTTTGAAGTAAAAATTTTATCACTTAGATAATTCAAAGAAGCTGCGTGACTACTAGATAATTTTTACGAAAAAATTAAGTCTGGATCATGATTTATTGCTTGTAAATAACAAAAAACTTAGCAAAACAATTTCTTAAGTGAAATTATGATGTACATTTTGGTTATTGAAAAGAATTCAGAAGCAGGGAGGTTGTATTTACTGTTTACATTTTCAGAATCAGCATTGAGAACGTCTCTCTCTCTCTCTCTCTCTCTCTCTCTCTCTCTCTCTCTCTCTCTCTCTCTCTCTCTCTTGAAACAACAAATTTAACTTTCCTTCGTTTTTTGGTATGAGAAGTGAAAATTGCACTAGTTAATTATAATTACACTTAAATAAAAAGGGAAAGAAATATTCCAAAATTGAAAGAAAATGAACAAAATATAGGGAAAAAATGTAAAGTAGGATGAAGATAATTAACAGTGTTCCATCTCTTGAATCCACTTTTATCCAATAATTAAACTTGTCCAATTGGTTTCTTTTTTAAACGAAAGATGCTTATTCAAACACGACTACCTCTGAAGTATTTATAGGTATTTTTGGGAATATCATGCTTGATTTTCAGGTCATGTCCATTTAGATATGTGACATATATTAAGTTTGTTTGTTTGTTTGTTTGATTGCTATTTATATAAGGTCCCTCGAGCTCTCGAGAAATTTTTCATTCATATGGAGATGCCACCACTTGAAGGTGGAGAGCTGCAAATTTGTCCTGTACTCGGCACCCAGGGAGGTATCTTCTTCGTTCCAGCCTCTACTGCAACACGGGACCTCGGTTACAGGTATTACATTGATATGTATTTTAGCAAACACCAAAAGCGTGTAGAAAAAAATAATTAGAACACAGGAAGTCATATAAATTTTTTCGAATTGTCATATTCTCAAAAAGAAGGGCTAAACCGCGTTCGAAAACTAGCAGGGACTATATTTTTGGAGGAAAGGTGGTGTTTGAAAAAATCTTTTCTTTTTCTCATAATCAATTATATAACAATGAATTAAGGTATAATTTTTACACAATCAAAGACTTGGAGAAATTTTTTAATTGTAAGTTTAATTAAAAATAAGGGACTTATTTTCCTAAATATATCAAATTAATATAATTTTTCATAAAACTAGTACTGTGTTAGCTATTTAAAACTTTTCGTTTCTGTATCATTTTTTATCTTTATGTGACAACTTTACAATATGTAATCAAAGTACTGAGACAGTACTGAAATACGAGATTAAAAAAATCTTAATGCTAGATTTCACAAATGTGACTTTTGTAATAGTTTTGATAACAACTTAATTACTTTTTTATTAAAATACTAAATTCAAAACTGTCAATAGCATATCTTAACGTTTTTTATTTACTTTGAAGTAGAAAATTCAATAATTATAAAGTCTAGAAACCATTTTGAATTGTCCGAATAATTAATATTCTCAGCTTTAAATTTTCAAAATGCTTCATTAATTTGAGTAAAAAAAGTTCATATCACTTACTTCAGTTTGATACAGAATGTTTGCATTTCGATCAAAACAATTTCTGAACTCATTCTTATAGCGTAGATTTAATTTATGTGTTCTCCCCGCGGCTTCCGTTTTGAGGTCTAGGACAGTAAACTAATAGACGGGGTCACGTGACCTCGGCTTAAAATGATAAAAAAAAATAAATATAAGAAGCAAATAAAAATAATAATATATCCTAAAAAACTAAGAAAAGTAGAGAAAATTTGGATAAGCCAATATCCAATTTATTTAATTTATTTATGTATGTCAATTTGGTAGTTTTATCTTATAGGCCTTCTATGGCAAAAGAAAAACATTTAATCTTTTGAAATACAAGTAGGGGTAGCATAATTGGGAACAGTAATTTTTTTATTATTAATGTCCAGGAAAAAAGAAATGACCTTGACCTAGTCTTTAATATAAAACGGTCAAATTTATTTTCACTTATACCATCACTAAGTGATATTGTCTTTTTGATTTGTGAAAATGTCATTAATTTTTAAATACAAGAAATATTAGAAGAAGCTTACCTTAAGGAGAGGTGATACAAACATTTTTTTTTCTTTGGAGGATACTTAATATCATTAAACAGGTTTGGAAAAGTGGATAATTCTTTGATTTTTTAACCTCCTAAGACTTGGAAAATGAAAAAGATTTGGAAATATTGGTTAATACTTCAATAAAATATCAAATATAGACAAATCACACTCAGTAAAGATTTACAGACGAGAACTTGGTGCTAAAAGTGTAATGTAAACTTTACAAAAATATACCAGGCTGATTTTTACTATTTTGCTTTTCCTCGTTAAATTGACCTGGCTTGGTATTTTTTTTTTTAAAGTATGTATTACACTTTAAGCGTCAAGCTAACATATTCTGAAATTTGTTTTTATCTGTAAACTTCTACTGAGTGACAGTGACACCAGTTATACCAGTAGGCTCTGTGCCATGCTGTAGAATGGTCAAACATGTAACTATTCCTTTCAATGTTGATTCTCATTCCATTATGTGTTCAATTGATGATTTTTTTTAATCAATTCAAATTATTGAATGAAAAAAAAAGAAAGCCTTGTTAATTTAATATTGATTTAATATTGATACAATATTTTATTATGTATACAAGATACAAGATATTTTATTTACCAATCAAGGGCCCCGAGGGGCATTTCAACATACATAAATGTACAATTTAAACATTTTTTTAAACAATAAACATAACAGGATTGGGCAGCAGGCACTGTTTATATAAGTCCTCTCCATTACCGTTTTGTTGGCTATTACAAAGACAAGAAAAGTACTAGGTATTTTGAAAATGACACTGTAACTATTTGTTTGACAAAATAAACTTATAAAAAAGGGGATTGTGTCAGTTCTGATAAACGTTAGTTTTTGGGTCTGATCATCATGACAGTCTTCTTTAGCGCTTCAAAAGTGTTTTTCCAGTAATACCATACCACGTACCGCTCCCCGGACACGATCAACGTCTATGAGACCTTAAATCCTATTGACTGTAGACCAGGACAATTCTATCTGCTTCCTAAAATACACAAAGAAGGCATACCAGGTCGCCCCATAGTCAGCGCAATTGGACACCCCACGGAGAAAATTTCTGAATTTATTGATTTACATCTCCGTCCACACGTAGAGAATTTGCCATCCTATCTCAAGGACACCACGGACTACATTTACAAGACGCCCTCTACTGGCCTCCCAGATCATACCCTCCTCGTGACTATGGACGTCACATCCTTGTACACCAATATTCCGCACGATGAGGGTATCGAAGCCTGTAGAGAAGTCTGGGATAGTAGATCCATACAAATTCCTTCTACAGAGTCCCTTGCTAAGCTCCTTGAACATGTTCTCAAGTTCAACAACTTCATGTTTAATGGAGAACATTATCTGCAGGTTAATGGCACTGCTATGGGTACGAAAATGGCACCGTCTTATGCCAATGTCTTCATGGGCAGACTGGAACGCAACTTGTTACTTCAAGCACCATTTAGGCCCCATAGCTGGTTGCGTTTCATTGACGATATAGAGATGAAGTGGGTGGAATGTCGCGAGAGCCTCGAGGCATTCATTACGTTTGCCAACACCTTTCATCAGTCGATCAAATTTACAGTAGACGTATCTAATTCGAAAAACGTATTCCTAGATACTACATCTACCCTGATTGATGGTGAAATCGAATTCAGTCTCCACACCAAACCCACAGACTCCCACCTATATCTTATGCCCTCTAGCTGTCATCCCCCACACACTTTTAAGGGAGTGCCTAAGGGTCTAGCCACCAGAATTCGACGCATCTGTTCGTCCCCTGCCTTATATCAGGAGCAAAGTGGTCTTCTTAAGTCCCACTTATGCAAAAGAGGCTACGATGCCCGCACCGTACAAACAGCTATTGATGAGATGGCAGGACAGGACAGACAAAACCTATTACGCTACAAGGAGAAAGACAATAGCGGTAGGGTCCCTCTGGTAACCACATACCATCCCGTCCTTAAGAACCTTAGCGGTATCCTTCAAAAGAACCTACCAATTCTCCATTCAAACAAACGAATGGCAGAGGTCTTTAAGGAACCCCCATTGGCTGCATACAGACGCCCAAGAAACCTAAAGGACATGGTAGTAAGAACCAGACTGGACAACCCATTACCTAACGGGGGCTTTAAAACTTGCTCTGACAGAAGATGTCTTCTTTGTAAGCACAGTACTGACACAGACAGTTTTAACAGTCCTGTTACAGGCCGCAGCTACAAAATACTAGGGAATTTGTCCTGTCATACTGACAACTGCATTTATCTCATCAGTTGCAAAGTTTGCTCCAAACAGTATATTGGTGAAACAGGAGATCTCCGCAGGAGAGTCAATAACCACCGTTCGACCATTAGGACCAAAAAACTCAATGAACCCGTTGGGGAACATTTCAACCTTGAGGGTCACAAATGGGAGGATATGACAGTAGTGGTGATTGACCATAACCCAAGATGGACAGATGCTCAGAGAAAAAGCAAAGAAAAGTTCTGGATGCACAGATTGAAGTCATTCCGCCCTAATGGTATTAACAAACTGAATGACTTCACCAGAATGAACGTAAACTAGACCCAATTCCTGATGATACTAAACAAGATTATTCTCTCAATTTAGTGTACACTCTACAGTCAATTTGCGTCACCAACTCTCGAACAACCCACATAACTATGTATTGCTTTCACCTTTGTTAATTTTTTTTTCCGTTAAAAAGTCTTTAAATATTTTAAAATTTATAATGGATCATAATTCATATGTTTAAATATCCCTGCCATCTAATCTTTCTTTGATTATTCTTTATTAAGTAAAGTTACGCCATTTTGAGAGAATATAAAACGATGTACGATTTACTGATTGTCGTAATTAATTAGCATAATTAATTCGTTCAATTATGTAAATCGCACTTCACCCGAGTATACCCGATAGACCGGACGCATTTCATAGCGGTCCGGATTTCTTTCTTTATTATATATACATATATATATATATATATATATATATATATATATATATATATATATATATATATATATATATATATATATATTTATATCCAATAATGGCATATAGACTTTGACATTGAATATGTAGTAAAGGAGGATAACTAGGAGGTAACATTGAGTAATTTGAGTAAAAACAATATGTATGAGATTGAGTAATAATAATTACCAGCACGTATGATCTCGTAAATTTGAACTTCAAGGACGTATATTTAAAGACTCTTGAGATTTAAACGAAATTGGATGAAGTTCTAGGATTGAATTATAAATATACAAACACGTATCATTGTACAATGTACTTCTTGTCCAGTGTTATCGTGAATTTATTGTAAAAAAAAAAAGATCACTATTGAAAATAGCTGTCACCAGGTTTAGTGCCTTTGGGCATTTGGCAAGTACTGAAAATGTGGCTGATTTAAATTCAAATGTGTTTTCTGTGATGTGCCCTTGCATAAGATACCTGTATTCATTGTCTGAGATCACCCACCTTAAATGACTTAGACTTGTTTGTTAAAACTTAATTGTTATTGATTGGTGTCTAATGCGTTCAGAAATTGGGTATATGGGTTTAAGCGCCCTGTGACTTGAGAGGGATTTAAGATAATTTTAAAATAATAGGTACATGGATGTATTGAGAAATTTTGATTATAAGTTTGTAAAATAAATAGTAAATAAACCCGCTATCTCGGTGAAATTAAATACATACAACTGTATATATAATGTACTGCACTATATCACTTGATATCTTTCATTTATTTTATATATAAAATAACTTGATCCCAACACTTACCTGCTGTTCCGTTGTATCCAGATACTGTCAGTGTATATTTATTGTCTTCATCTCCGATGTAAAATGTGCTATACTCAGCATAGATCTCTTCTCCGTTATAACTCTTCAGATCAATTCGAAGTTTTTGGTTCCGATCCTTGGTTAAAGAGTGGATTGCGTCGTTCCCTATATGTTAACACTTTTATTTAGTTTGAGAGTTAAAAAGCTTACACATCGATAAACTCTAATAAAACAAAATAAAACAAAACACGTGTTTGTGAAACACTGATGCCCCTGTATGGCAACATAGCGAAGGTTTAGCTTTCCCAAATGCAGATCAAGTATGTTGGTACCTAAAGTCAGGCCTTTTCACAAAAAATACAAATGTGAAATATAAAACCCTAGCACCACCTATTCAAAAGTTATAGCCGAAGTGAATAATTTTTAAAGGTAAATCAAATTCTAGGCTCAATGTCAAAGGGTCAAGGTTGTTGGTTTCTAAAGGAAGGCCTTGTCACAAAGATTACATATGGGAAGTATGAAAGTCATAACCAATTAAAAGTTATTGCCAAGTTACAGTTTTTTAAAGGTCAAACTCAAAGGTCAAGGTCTAAGACTCAAAGTTGTTGCCATCTAATGAAAGGACTTGTAACAAGAATTACATATATGAAGTATGAAAATCTTAGCCCTTTGCGGTCAAAAACTATGGCCAAGGTTAAAGTTTTTTTTTAAAGTATATTAATCTCCAAGGTCAAGGAAGAAATGCTAAATTGTTGGTATCCCATTGATTGATTGTATACTGTTTAACGTCCCTCTCCAGAATATTTCACTGATATTGAAACGTCACCCTTGCCGGTGAAGGGATGCAAATTTAGGCCGATGCTCGGCACTAACGGCATTTGACAGGGAGGGTTCTTTATCGTGCCACACCTGCTGTGACACGGGGCCTCGGTTTATACAGTCTCATCCAAAAAATTTAGTCGCCTTTTACGACAAGCAATGGGGTAGTCAGGACCTATTCTAACCCAGATCCCGACGGGGTGAAGGTCTTGTCACAAGAAATACATATTTGAAGAATAAGGATAAAAGTCCGAGCAACAACACTTCTAAAGTTTATCCAAAGTAAAAGTTTGGAATTTTGGTGTAAAAGTTTGTCAAATTCCAAGGTCAAGAAAACATTTTTTTTAAAATGATTTAACTTTTTGAGTGAAGTTAATGCATAAAATAATGATTATTCGAAAAAAACAACATGTTTGTTTTTAAATTGAGCATGGTCTGTTTTGCATTACCATACAGAATACGGTAAAAATTTATCGTTAACTTAAACGGTTTACTTTCAAAATATCGTTACAATTCAGTTCAATGTAATGTAGAAGCGGCTCTTTAAAGAGTTCAATTCTGTGTTAGATTTTGACTGTGTAGAGGAAAAGTAATTGCTAGTTATAACAATTATGTCGCTATCAACCAATTATTGTTTTAATCACTAAATCATGCTGCAAAAACTTAAAAGACTTGCAGACGTCAATGTAAACAACTTTACTACACGGAGTGTAGCGAATCCCGATCCCAATCAAAGAATTGATAACGGTTATCGAGATTCAGACTTCAATATATATCGGTGTAATAAAACAATTGCTTACCCCTTTGTGAGTTCAACATGGTAAAATAAATGATTTCACCATGTTGACCTCAAAAGGGGTAATTAATTGTATATTATCCCTGTAAGTAAAAGAATAAAAGTTCATTATATATGACGTCGCTATTATGACGTCAAAACAGCATCTTATATTTGCAGAGGTGAATGTCAAGAGGGCTCTAAAAGTAAAATAATGAATATCAATAGACAAAAGTACTTCAATAATTTCAAGGATATTTTGGTGCATTCTGAAGAGCTGCATGGTATATCACTCTTGACTCTGGTTGTATTGAAGATTGTTGTGAAGTAAACTTTAGATATCCACTCATTCAACAGAACTCAGATTGAAAAGAAATTTTACCTCAATATGCGTATTACTGAACAATAAATATAATTAACATGGCCTATTTGCACTAATCAAAAATCGTATTTTAAATACTAAAAAACAAGAGGCCCATAGGCCTTATAGGTCACCTGAGCATTATGCAACAACTTTTCAGGGATTGAATTTGATTCATGTTTTAATCCAGATGCTATGGCTTCACAATTTTGAAAGAGGCACCATTGATCATCATAGCAATACACTTAGCAGTTGCTTAGTTTGTTTACTTAATACCCATAGGCAGGGTAGGGGAACAAAAAATGCATTTCAAGTAATCAGTAATATTCAGCATGATAAGTAATGCCCCAATCACACATGAACCCCTGACCCTTAGGCCTAGATCCACACATTGCACAATTTTGAAAAGGCACCCTTGCTTTTCAAAAATATTTGATAAATACCAAGGAGCAGATTTCAAACAATTCATCCAGTTTCAGTATACAAGTTCACAATTTTGGTAGAAGCACTCTTGCTCATCATAACTATGCACTTAGTTAGTTTATTTGATACCCAGGAGCAGAGAAGAAGATTTTCAACTATCATGTATTTTCACTATTATAAGCTATAGAGCCCCACCCTAACACCAGAACCCCTGACCCTGGGGCCATAAAATTCACAATTTTTGGTAGAGGCACTCTTGCTCATCATAATATAACTATGTACTTAGTAGGTTTATTTAATACTCAGTAGCAGAGAAGAAGATTTTCAAAGAAATAATGCATTTTCCCTATGTACTTATTTAGCCACGCCCTAGCACTAGAACCCCTGACCCCAGGGCCATGAGTTTCACAATTTTGGTAGAGGACTCAATGCTGATTACAATCATGCAAACAGTTTGACTGCTTTATGTCCAGGAGTAAAGAAGAAGATTTTTAAAGATTGCACTAATTTTATTGGTTTTTGCCCCACCCCCCAGGCCCCAGGGGGGCAGGGACCATGAAATTCACAATTTTTGTTCCCCTTTACCGATAGATGCTATATGTCAAATTTGGCTGAAATTGGTTCAGTGGTTTTAGAGAAGAAGCTGAAAATGTTAATATGTTAACGCACGACGAACGACGACGGACGAAAAGTGATAGCAATAGGTCACCTGAGTTTACTCAGGTGACCTAAAAAGCTTAACAGTATTTTATTTTCTCATGTCCAGCAAGGTAAGAAGTATCTTGTTATTTCATAAAAAAAAAAAGGTGGAACCAGTGAAGTACATTTTGAGATATTGACTGATAGTATTGATTTTTTCAGTAGATCTGCAAAATTTGACAAAGCATGTTGAAAAAAAAATGTGTAAAATGTGTTCTAAAAATATCATTTGAAACCACAATGATTATTCTTAGCACATAATTACGAGGGGCGTTCAATAAATAATGTCATAGGGGCTCGGAAAGAAACAAAAAACGCTTTTCTATGATTTTGTCTTCATGATTTAATTCAAATATTCTCTTTTAATCAAAACACATGTCCATAACATTTTAATTCAATTTCTAATTGTTTTTAGAACACAGTTTTGAGTATGACCCTTCGTATACTGGAAAATGGAAGATTCTATAATTTGCTGTACTTGTTTTTTGTCTTTCTGAAAGGTCAGAAGCTGTCAGGAAGAAATTTAATTTAATGAATTCCGTAGTCTGTTTCCTTCCTCTCAGAAACCATTAATTTTTTTGGCAAATTAAATATTTTGCTTACTAGACTCCTTCAGAAATTGAACTGCCTCCCTTTATATGAATTTGAACAACAAGACCGCTAATATTTAAGAAAATAGCGTATAAAACAGTTTGATTGTTCTGGCAAATTTTTGCTCTTCTTAGGCCTTTGCAGTTTTGTCAAGTACATCTTATTCTAAATTTGTTTTTATGGGTTAATGCAAAATGGATTCAAGTTTCATGATCTTTTTGAATTTCAGGAAAACGTGGAAAAGAACAATTTTTGATTTTTTAAAAACACTTGTTTAAATTTTCTATACGCTCTCGTTTTCACTTATTTCTAAAAATATAGGCTGGCCTTTGAGTATTAAACTTTTTTTACAATCAAATGTATCTTTAAAACAGTGTGAACTACCCCCAAAAAGATGTCTATCAAATTTGCTATGTATCTTAAAGTCAATAAAACATAATCAGTGATAATTTGTTGAATTATCGCTAATATACATTGGTTGTTGTATGTCCTTGTTGACAAGAACGGTACCCATTTTTCATGCCCATTATATAATATTTGTTAATTGAAATCTACCCGTTGATTTGTGTATGAAACTGCCACAAGTTGCTATAAATTTCACATATTTCAGTTAATATATTTTTAGGAAATTAACAAGTTTTACAGCAGCTTTGATGACGCGTTCAATTTTACTCTAGTTTACTGACTCTTGACTATTCATTTTTAATGCAGTGTCTCGAGTAGCCCTTGTTTTCCAGCTTCCCACAATTAAAATATGCGATGAAAACACAAAAAACTGTTATCAATTCATTAAAGATTCAATAATCAGTGAAAGTCAAGCTTAATGTCATATGATTTCTACTTGTATGTCATCGAGCTGATTCATTGAACGCCCCTCGTACGTGGGAATTTCTGAAATGAAACATATGAAGATAACAAACAGTATTCAAGATCAAAATTTCATAAAACTCTACAAAACAGGAGCAGAGCAAACACGGACCTCCAAAAAATCAAACAGAGGTGGGATCAGGTGCCATATAAGAACTCCCTGCCGACCGATCACACCCGCCTTGTGCTCTTTGTCATGATCGGAAAATAACGGAAAAATCCGTCGTCAATTCAGTGCTTAAATAACGGACTACAATAAGTATGAAAAACGACAGTCAGCATTTGTCTCAAATATATCTATAGTAAAAGTTATTATGACCAATTTCCAACATATATAATTAATCAAATCTGTTACATATTGATAATTTTCATCTTAATATGCTTACACCTCAAGAAAAGGCTCCTTATAAATGATAAAATTATTTGATCTTGATTGCAGATCTGTTCCATCTTTTTTTCTATGTTTACATTATTTCTAATTAACTATAGTAAACTTTAGTTTACTTTAGTGAACTATTGCATTTCTTGTTAAGGAATTATTTGATTAAAAATCAGAACACAGTCAAACATGTAAAGGTGTGAAGGTAAGAACGTAAATGATACTTTTTTTAAAACCTGCACTAGTTTTTTAATCAAAGCTTACACCAAGGGCACAGTAGACTGCAAAGGAAGGATGTTTTCGCAACTTTCCTCAATTCTGGTGGAATTTTGTTAAATGTGGGACGTGTCGGAAAACATAGAGCAAAAACATGCATGTTTGAGATTTTTTTTTTTTACACATGATGCATCTGATACTAGTTTTGAAATATATAAATTGGTTGATAGACAAGCTTGTGGCTTATGTTTTTTAAACAAAATGTACTTTAAAATAGATAAAAATTGGCACATAAATGAGAAAATTCAGAAATTAAAATACTTCCTGACCTTCTTGTGACCCCTGTGTATTCCATAACATAGAAAGAATATTCATTTTGTTGCAAAAGTGACAACAGGTTGTAAATGATAAAATCTCGCATCATTCTAAAACACACCCCATCAGAGAGTCCAAATGGGGTCTTATATTATATTGTCCTTTGAAATAAAACTCGTTTTATTCGATATTATTGCAGAATTGAAAAGGAGAAAAAATCTGATTTAAATTAAGAAAAAGACATGAATTTTTTTAGCATTTGATGTTTGTTCGATATCATATATTTGCCGACATTGCTGTGGTTGATTTCAACAAAGAATATAGAGATATCATAATGCAAATGTTGTAAAAATGATATCACATTAACATTTAAGACTTTGCAACAGCAGAGATCACGAAATTGGTGAAAAGAATTTCAAATCTACATTGTAGATATTGCAATGTCAACAATCTAAACATAAAATATATTGTTAAGACGACACCGTTTCTACTTTCCCTACGTATATTACGTTGTTGTCGATATTAAAATGGTAAGATTAACTAGACATGAATATATTCTGCTTTTCATATGGAGCTTCAACATTAATCAAGTTATATGAAATATGAATATGAAACATGAAATAAAATCATACCTATCCAGTAGTTTTTAGAGGCATTCCCAAATCCATCTTTATACTCTATCCATGTCCTGTAAAAATCGACGTCACCATCCTGTCTTTTCTGAATGACCTGTAAACAACGCCAGATATTTTATTTCATTGCCTCGTGTAAAAAAACAGACTGACCACTATGTAACATTCTCATAACTCATCGCTAAAGGTTCAAGCAATATATACCGGTGTTTTGTGATACGGAGACGCTAAAGGAAAAACTGAGTAATATATCATAATTTTTGGAACATCTGCCATTGTCTTTGTGTCAAATGGCATAGAAAATAATTCTAAAACAAAAAAGCGTGGGTGGTTTCTTTCTCTTACCTCTGCCCATAAGACAAAAAAATTTCCGAATTGCAGACAACAATCCAATTGCCCTTTGTTATGTTAGGTCCGTCCGTCAATGTTTAACTAATGCACTAATCAAATAAAATGGAGGTGTTCAATTGTAATTCTTTATTTGGGTGCTGATGTTGGGAGACAGGTTTAACGTCACACTCGGCAAAAGACATAATGTCATAATGATAAACTTTTGTTAAATTTGTTTTATGATAAGCTCTTATATCTGAAACTGTCTGGTATTTTCTTAACTTAAATTGGAATACCTAATAAAATTCGTTCAAAAACAAAAACAATACTCACCGTCCATCCTCCTCCATCTGTCGTCATGTCACAGAAGACTTCTCTCCGTTTGTCAGCATAAATAACGTAAACTCCATCTTGTCCATTCTTGCTTGGGTCTCTTTTCACAATATCTGAACAGTCTTTATAAATCTTTTCTATTCAGTGTAAAGAAATGAACGAAATCAATAATACATTGCATTACACTTACTATTTCTTTTCAAACATTTCAATAATTAGGGATATATTGATTTATTTAGTATTTCTTGATTTATATCCGAATGCTCTTTAAATCTAAATAATTTCTTTTTAGATCTTTTAAAAAAAATTACAGAAACTGAAAGTACATGTATAGCAGATATAATCTGTAGAGTAAAATATTTAATCGTAATTCATCGTAGATCAAAATGTTAAATTGGAATTAATCAAAAGTTTATCAGGATTTACTATTTTGGTCAAAAAGAAAATCAACATTATTTTGATAATATGATGTCATGAATTTATTCAAATTGACCAAATCTATATTTGATTGTATACGGTTTAAGGTAGGATTCTTCTCTGGTTTCTGACTAGATGAAACATTCAAAGTATATTTGCTTATATGTCCTATATATTGAGGTGTACGGAATTTAAAAGACCATATTTTTCTTTCCTCATCACAATTCTACAACTTTAAATAGAAATAGTAAACTGCGTTTGAAAATTAGCAGGGACTATATTTTTTGGCGGAATGGTGGCGTATGAAAATATCTTCTTTTCTGCCTCTCAAAATTATAATAGAACAATGAATTAAGTTATATTTTTTGCACAATCGAAGACTCGGAGAAATTTTCAAATGTAAGTTAAATTAATAATGAGGGACTAAACTTTCAAAATATATCAAATAAATATGATTTTTCAAACAAACTAGAACTTTGTTAGCTTTTAAACGCTTCTTATCAAATTGCAGATTCAAGCCAAAAATCCATAAAAAGTTTTTTTTTCTTTCATAAAAAACGATCAAAACTTTTTGTTTTTTGTATCATTTTGTACATTCATAAGACTACTTTATTATATGTGAAAATAAGAAAAAGTTAAATATAGGAAGCAAATGAAAATAACTTACATATCCAAAAAGAAATTAAGAAAAACAGAGAACATTCGGATAAGCCAGTATCCAGTTTAATTAAATCATTTATGTAAATTTGGCAATATCATGATATAGACCCGATATAGCTATATGTTTTTATGCAAAAAGAACAATCTTTAAACTTTTGAAATAGAAATAGGTATCACATGATTGGCAACAGTATTTTTTTATTCTTAATATCAAAGAAAAAGTTAATGACTTTGACCTGACCTTGTCCCTAATATAAAACAGTCAAATTTAATTTCACTAATACTATCACTTACTGATATTGTCTTCGTGATTCTGTGAAAATTTCATTAATTTTTAAATATTAGAAATATGAGAAGAATCCTACCTTATCGTCCCATTCGAGAATTTTTCACTCATATAAAGACGTCACCGTATGCAGGTGAAGGGCTTCAAATTTTGACCTTTACTCGGCACTCAGAGCCATTGAGCAGTGAGGGTTCTTTATCGTGTCAACGCCTACCGTGACACGGGAAATATGTTTTAAGGTAATGCCCGCAAGACCCGTGACTTTCACTACTTATGCCGAGCGCTTGAAGAAGGAACAGTCACAACTTATGTTTACGGTGAAGGGCTTCATATTTGCCAAGTGCTTGGCAAAGGAACAGTCACTACCTATGTTTAAGTCTTAGATTTGCCGCGGCGCCGCAAACGAGAATCGAACCCAGGCTCCCCGATCACGAAGCAAACTATCAACAGCTAGACTTCCGTGACCGGTCATAAAATCTATGAGGAAAAGATTATTATTTAGGAAAGTCTTCATGAGTCTTTATGCTATACACATACATAGATATCAACAAGTGTTAACATTTCCATGGAATAAAACTGACTGGATTAAACGGAAAGCAGTAGCTGGTCATGGCAAAGGTTGTAGGGAAAATGTAACAAATGTTTAATCTTAGATATTTATTTTCCAGCTCATATATATTTTTCGAAAAACTAATTGTTGTTCAGTAACAATATTCGGATTCTCTGTACAAGTGATGTGTATGAAATATTCCAATGCTAGTGTGGATGATATTTTTTTTAGGCTTTTTACCAAAATAATATACAAATTGATATCCATTTCAAGGCACTTTAATCCATTTTACATCAATAATTTTTACCGATATTGATATAAACCAAACAATATAAACCCCTTTCTCGTTTATAAAGGAAAAAATGCATTCAATAATGATTACCGAAAATAAAAACATTCGCTAATGCTGTTTATGTTTTTTTTTACATTGTCGAAACAAAAATTCCTATTTAAACAAAGTATTTCACTTTTTTTTAATTAAAGAGCTTATTACTTTTCACTATATGAGAAAATAAGTAAAGTTAATTGTTTTCTTCATAAATTTTGATTACCGGTCACTGTAGCCTAGTGGCAGAGCCTTCGCTTCGTGATCGGGAGGTCCGGGTTCGATTCTCTCGTTTGCGGCGCCGCGTCAAACCTAAGATATAAACATAGGTAATGACTGTTCCTTCGCCAAGCGCTTGGCAATAAAAATGAAAGTCACGGGTCTTTCGGATATGACCTTAAAAACGTAGGTCCCGTGTCATGGGAGGTGTTGGCATGAAAAAGAACCCTTACTGCTTAATGGCCCTGAGTGCGGAGTATAGGTCTAAATTTGAAGCCCTTCACCGGGAAGTGGTGGTGTTTCCGTATGAGTGAAAAATTGTCGAATAGGACGTTATACAATACACAATCAATCCATCAATCAATATCAATATTGATTAATTTGATCGAATTAATATGATGTAATATGGAAACTGGAAATTTAAAACATGTTTTATATAAGCAAATGTGTGCATTCCTTACCGTCATATTTACGGTGTTATTTTGTCTATTTGTTTTTTAAATTTACTGTGATAATCGTTCTAACGTTGTTCCGTAGTTTCTTTCAGTTATCATATTTTGGACCTCTTATTCGAATACCCTTTTGGTACCTCTTCACCACCTGTATTTATTCAACTGAGTTAAGGCTTCCACCCTTCTTAAAACCGGCTTTCCAACATGTAGAAGCACGAGCTCTGTCTATTTGTTAAATTTTACTTTCAAAGTTTTGTAAAGTTATTATGATTATAAGCGGTATAACAGACACTGACTTCAGAGGTGAGTAACATGTTTTATTTACATTTTCTTCTCTGTTTTGTTAAGTAAACGGTCCTGGGATAACTTTGTTATTTCAACGTATTTTAATTTTAGTCTATTTGTTCGAATGTTTGTTCGTTTGTATAGTTTGTATGGTCTTTTAATATTATTATGAGTTATGTAAATTGATAGTATCGGCTCTAGTATTCCAGTATTTAGTTTCATTATGATTCTAAACAGTAAAGTAACTATGTAAGTGAAGTTCCTGTGTTAAAGTGTAAGTTACATATAAAATAATGTAAATATTGTGTAAAAGCATTTAATACAAGTTCTGTAAAGCAGCGCTGTGATGTTGACCCCATTATAAACCCATTATCGTGTATGGTGGGTTATGTGGGTAATAACTTGTATGTATACCTGCTTTCTGTATTAATTTGAAACATAATGTGTTTACAATTTTGTGTTATGTAGGTCCCGTTATACGTCCGCCGTTCCAGGTTACACGTCCTACGTTACGCCCTGTGATCGGTGTTGTATGTTGTGTCGTGTAACGGTTTTGGTTACTGTGGAGCCGGAATATATATGTACAGTTGTTGTATTCCAGATAAACGTGAAAACGCTCTTTGACATTTGATATTTTACTGTAATAAGGAAGAACCCGCAACACTTACATAACCAAACACAACATCTTACCTCTACATCTTTTTTCTAAGATTTTTATACGAATGTAAATCGATTTTAATTACAGATTGACTTAAGAGTTATATTTTGTTATAGACAATTTTAATGCATTGAGAAATTACCAAAGAAAATAAAAGTAGCAGATAAATAATAAAAGTGATAAACATAATTGGGGTCGACTGCTTTGTATGTTAATTAAAAGTATGTAATTGAATACTTTCAATTACATTTATATTTTTTTTCATTTACTTTCAATTAAGATTACAGGTACAATTGATGTTAACAAATGTAATTTATTTATCTCAGTAATTTGAAGAATGTAATTGAATACATTTCAATTCTTTCAGTTTGATTTTACAAATACTGGGTAAACACATCTTTGAAATGTTAAAATTTTCATTTTTTTTTTTTATAAATTTTAGTCAGGGATGTAGTTACAATAAATGACATCAGGCGCCTGTGTTTCTTTTTTCATCAATACAAGGCCTATTCGACTATAAAATGTATCTTTAAAGAAGGAAACAGGATATTCTTTCCAACTACTATCTTATTTTTCATTTTTATTGATATTAAATTTGAATGTTTTAATTGATTTTGTTATAAGCATGTTTATAGAAACATGCTGATTAAATATTTAGTCATTACCTTCATAAATATGATAATCATACCCTTTCGATGCTTTCAAATCGAAACCTTTTAGTGCACAGTTTGAGAACATCCCCCATACATTCTAAATACCAGCAAAATCTAATAAGGCAGATAGTAATGCCCAGTATTTGTTATAAACACAGAGATTTGTATTTCACAAAACATCGTAAAATTAATTCGAGACCGTTGTTCAACGACCTTTCCAGAACGTACACTTTTCAAACATAGAGATGGACCCGCTTTAGGTAGTGTGCCACAAATATTGACCAATGCATGGTTATGATAGCCGAATTCGAAGCAGTGAATGAAATTCTTTGTACTAACGCCTCCCGTGATAGAAAACCTCGAATTATAAGGTGTTTACCCAAAGACACATGACTTTCACTTCTAGTGTACTGTGCGCTTTGCAAAAGAAAAACAATACCCATGCTGACACGGCACAAATAGAACAATAAACTTGAATCCTACCCGAAGTGCAATTTTATAATTATGACCTATGGTCTATGTATCTTATATCTTACCTTCTAAAACAGGTACACAGTTACCCCGAGAACAAATGGCATCCTCGGTACAGGCATGCTTTGGACAATCGGCCGCCATGTGCTGAAAAGCATTTGAATTAGAGTGATAACTCGTTTAATTGATTGCAATGCTTCAGAACGTTGTCGTTATTTGTAAAAATCATTTTACATGTATTTGATATATTAAAGAGGAGCTTGGAATTAATTCTAGAAGTGGTAATCGAAATTATACCCATATTTATCTTTATAAGGAAGACATTTTTCAAAATCATATACCAGCCTCTGTCTTTACTCATCACAATGATATAAAGAGTGGCAAAGGAGAATACTTCAAGAGTACTGTGCAACAATATATACGAGAAATGGATACATAAAAAATACATTCATCAGATTTTAAAAATGTCAAGGAACTATTACAAAATTTGAAATCACAAATTTTACCAATATCAATAGCTTAAAAACGACTTTTCAACTTAATAAGCAACCGTTCCCACGATTAATCAAAGTCTGAGCTTTATTGATATTATTGACAGCTGCTTTTTCAATACAAATAAAACTTGTAAATTTACTTATCTTGTCAGTAGTCATTTGCAAAGTTATTTTATTAAAAAGCATTCTGATTGTACACAAATACTCTGAAATTGACATCAAAATGCCTGAGTTTCTGACAGACAAAATCTATGTGGTTTTTGGAGAACAAACTACTGGAATTGGCATGGATATAAATTGTTCCCCATCATAAGCAGACGTATTATTGTATTCATATGAAGCAGAATTTGTCAACAATTTTATACGAAGAAAATACGGGCTTCAATTTTCAACTAGATATTTAGATATTATATAGACGATGTTTTGTCAATTAACTATAAATATTTCCATTCTTATGTCCATACAATATATCCAGGAGGGCTTGATATTAAAAATACAACAGCGTCTGACACATCTGTTTTGTATTTAGATATTTAACTCTATCTTACATCTTTACAATGACAATCTTACAACCAAGCGTGATGAACGTGATGACTTTGATTTCTCAATCGTCAAATTCCTCAACTAATGCAGCAATTACCTTCATCACTGCATACGGGGTCAATACATCTCAGTTGATTCGATATGCCAGAGCATACTCTATGTATGTATTATTTGTTAAACGAGGTAAATTATGGACAAAAAAGTTCATGTAACAAAAATATCATCTGTCTCGTTTAAAGTCATAATTTCGTCAAAAGTTGACAGGCGTTTTTCATACTAATTGTTAGACCATTATTTATAAACTGAATTGACGACGGATTTTTTCCTTATTTCCAAATCATGATATGGAGCACACGGTGGTTGTTACCGGTTGGCAGTGGATGCATACTCCTCCATGGCACATGATCCCAACTCTGATGTTTTGGAAGTCCATGTTTGCTCTGCTCCTATTTTGTACTTTTAATGGACTTTTGAGCTTGAATACTGTTCGCTATATCCATATATTGTATACAGGGTTATTTTCGCCCCTTTTGACTAATGAACAGTTTTGTCCCGTTTTAAACTCGCCCAGTCATAGTTCTGCTTAAGAAATTATGAAGTGTAATTTGAGTTCACCCCGTTTAAAATTCGCCCAATCAAGGAGAAGGCGAAAGGGGCGAAAATTTCCCTGTATACAGTATTTCATTTTAATAAAACTACTTCAAGATATTTTTCTAAATGTCCGATAATTTGCTTACCTTTGGAAAACTTTCTTTGTCAACATGAATGATCCTACCTCCAGCCATGATACTACTGACATTTTTTTTTATAGTAAATCCTGTGTTTAGCCGGCAAATCTTATTTTCGCGTATCCAATCCACAGAGCGACATAACTCAGAGTTGTTACAAACCATCATGCACATTCCTATTTCAGCACTGGTCAGCAGGTTAAAACCAGGTACTGAGGAATTTTCATAATTACTAACGATTAAAGTTTTGGGGTCGAAGCACTGAGAGTAGCATGTCTGTAAAAAAGTTAGAGTTTGTCCTATGAGGAAAATACTGATCACCTTCATACCCGCTATGAATTTCATTTCAACGTTTTTGTGCAACAATTAAGCGATCAGATTTCATTGTCGATGACTTTTACCAAAATAAGCAATTGCTTGCGTTTTCTATATTCCTATATCATATATACTTATTGCCAAGTTCTATTAGTTTATTATTCATGAGGACTCACGTGATAGTGTTATTTTCGTTGCAATGAATGACTTGTAACGTAATCTTAAATATTGCCGATTTAGTTTTATATATAAATATATATACCTGTTGATATTTTCTGTCTTCTTTCCAGAAATAAATAAATAAATGCAAAAGTAGAAAAATGAAGAAAAAAATCAATAAAGTTGAACAGTTAATGAATTTGCACGAGAGCTTGAATGTACTAAAGTTTGTTATCCTGAGTACTGCCATTAACCTAATACCAAAATATTAAAAAGGAGACGAATGACCATTTCAGTTATTTATAAATCTGAAGTATACATTGACATATATTTTTGTCATTCCATTAACAATTTGTTTCTATACAAATCGACATGAAAAAAACGTCTAACATTAATAATGTTTTGCACATCGGGCATAAAATTAAAAATATCAATGTTTAACCGCTGAGTGATATGATGGACCAGTAAGTGAGAGGTTGGACCGCTTACGTCACAGAATGGGCGGATTTTAATCTCATTTTCAGTCTTTGGTGTTCAACAGTGACGGACCTGATGTTACATCACGGAAGAAATTACAAAATACATGTATATAAAAAATCATAATAAAATGAAAGGTATAACAAAACATTTTTTGACAGAGTTCTCGGGAAAATGCGTTTTGTCGACCCTCAAACCAAACAATCTGCCTTCAGCCTAACGGACTCAGGCAGACAGTTTGGTTCTTGGGGCCGACAAAACGCATATTGCCCTCAAATTCTGTCAATAAATGTATAATGTTATACATAAAGGATATGGCAAGATCAAAATTAATAAAACAATACAAAATAAGACCAGAGCAAACACTGGCCTCCGAAACATCAGAAGTGGGATCAGGTGCCATGGAGGAGTGAACATCCCCTGCCGACCGGTCACATCCGCCGTGTGCTCCTTGTCATAATCGGAAATAACGGAAAAAATCCGTCATCTATTCATTGCTTAAATAACGTACTAAAATTAGTATGAAAAACGATATTCAGCATTTGACTCAACGGTATATTGATGACAAAAATTATTTTGACCAATTTCCAACATATATAATTAATCAAATCTGTAACATATTGATAATTTTTTTCTTAATACGCTTTCACCTCAAGAAAAGGCTCCTGAAAAAATGATCATCAGAGGTGGGATCAGTCGCCATGGAGGAGTAAGCATCCCTTACTTTCCGGTCACACCTGCCGTGAGCTCCTTGTCATGATCAGGAAATAACGGAAAAAATCCGTCGTCAATTCAGTGTATAAGTAATCGACTAACAATAAGTATGAACAACGTCAGTCAGCATTTGACTTAATGATAAATTGTATTTGCTGACAATGTCATTGTATCGACCATAGAACTAACGAAATGATGACTTTAAACGAGACGGCTGATATTCTTGTTTCATCAACTTTTTTGTCATTAAATTACCTCGTTTTAGAAATTATTTATACGTAGAACAAGCTCTTTCGTATCGAATCGACTGAGATATATACACTCCGTATGCAGGTGACGAAAGTATATTGATGCATAAGTAAGGGAAGTTGACGATAGAAAAGTTAAAGTCATCGCGTTTATAATAAAGGTTGGTTGTTAGATAACTATTAATGTCTTGTTCTAGTAAAATATTCAAGTATGAAACAGATGTGTCAGACTCTGTGGTATCTTTTATCTCAAGCTCACCAGAATCTATCGTTTGGACGTAGGAATGGAAATCACCATTGTTAATTGACAATACGTCGTCGATATATCTAAATGTCGAGTTGAAGGCCACAGCAAGTGTTTTCTTCTTTTTAGGCAGAAGATTTTGCACAAATTCTGCTTCATAAGAAAAAAAATATAGTGACGAAGTATTGTCAATTAACCAGGGGTCTCCATGGGCCGTTTAACGTGTCGGCCCCGCCACAGGTAAATTCCTTAGCGCCACAGTTAAAAAATTAGCGCCATAGTTCCGCCACAATTAAATTATTAGCACCACAGTAAGATCGTCGTTTTCAGTAAGATAAATTTTATATATTTTTAATAATCAGTTTCTAATGGTAAACTGTAAATTACTCTAATTAGGGCTCATTGTTTGGCTTGCATAACCAATTATCTTCTATACCTCGCTGGACACATGGAGCCACTTTTTCACTCTTCACGATAATTACAAAGGATATTTTAAACAACAATTAGTTCCTGATTAAATAGATCAACAGTAACCATGTCTCTAACATTACACTTGCACAGAGAGTCAAAACATCGTACGTGTCTTCACTCTACCATCGGCTCATACATTCACCTCTGTCGTTGGCTCGCGTATACCACAATGATAAACAAAAGAAATAGTGCGTTTGTTTTATTTCATTATTATTTAGTTTCATATTTGGATATTTTACTTGTAAACACACGGTGTGTGTGACCGATTGGCTCGCTCATCCATGGCACATGATCTCACCTCTGATATTTTGGAGGACCGTGTTTGCTCTGCATCTATTTTGTATTGTTTTATGGACTTTGGAACATGAATACTGTTCATTATCTTCATATGTTTCATAAAGTCAATGTACCTCTTTGTCTAAAAAGGGAACCGAAAACAATTCAATTTGTTTTTAAACGAGCAATTTTTGATATACTTTGAAGAGAATGTCATAAAAATAAGATTTTGAAAAATTCTTCTTCAATGAATATTTTCATTATACACTTTTTTCTATATTTTCTTTTATGTAGATGATGAAAATAAGGAACAAAGACCAATTTCATCTCGTAAACAAAAATAGTCGTAAACAAACAAAATCATAAACAGGTCAACACCACAGCCCGGAAACACCAATCATGGGATTAGTTGTCTTAGAGGAGTAAGCATCCCATGTAGGCCGGTCTGTTGTACACTTCATGTATTAATCAGGTT